TGGTTTGATAAAAGTGTTAGTGATGAAAATCTGAAACACATACTTTGGTGTGGTATTATTTCAGAGTTATTATATATTTTCCCCCTGTTCTAGCCCAAAAATATTTTTTTTAAAAATGGAAAATGCAGAGTATTGTTTGATAAATTGTTCTTCTCCTTGCAGATTAATCTTTATTTGTTTACTGGCAGAGTGTATGGTGAATTTTACAGTAACTTTTTTTTTTTTGCTTTATGTTCTTAACCTGATAGATTTTAAAAGAAAAGGATGAAATGAAAAGTCAGCTGTATGCAACGTTACAACAAACAGAGAATCTTCGAAAGGAATTGAATGATGTCCTAACCAAGCGTGCCCTTCAAGAGGAGGAGCTTCACTTGAAGGAGGAGAAACTAAGTGATATTAAGTGTTGTCAAGCTGACCTTGAACTAGAAGTCAAGAATTCCGTGGAAACCATTCAGAGACTAGAAAGTGAATTGAAAAAACAGAGTAAGATTCAAAGCCAGATGAAAACTGAGAAAGTTCACCTAGAGGAAGAAATTGTAGAGCTCAAGAAAAGCCAGGCCAAGGACAAAGCTAAACTTCTCGAGTTGCAAGAGTCCATCAAGGACTTGAGTGCCATCCGAGCAGATCTTGCTAATAAATTGGCTGAGGAAGAGAGAGCCAAGAAAGCGGTGTTGAAGGAACTTTCTGACCTCACGTCACAGGTGAAATCCAGGGATGAAGAAACAGCTACAGTCATCACACAGTTAAAGTTAGAACGAGATGTTCACCAGAGGGAGCTGAAAGATCTCACATCATCGTTGCAGAGTGTGAAAACAAAACACGAGCAAAATATCCAGGAGCTGATGAAGCACTTTAAGAAAGAAAAGAGTGAGGCTGAGAATCATATTAGGACACTGAAGGTACCTGTACCGAATTATCCTGATGATACTGAAGGAATTTTTCTGGTGGCTCATGAAGTTAATAAAGCGTAAACGTTTAGACATCATTCTGTATTCCCAAGCACTGAAGGGAAGATAAAACCAACAATAAAGAAGCTTATTCGTGCCTGTTCGGCCAGGTTGAAATGAGTTATAGCAGCCACCTGGGAGCACCTATTTCAGAGCATTGAAGCCCTTTAAAAAGAACGTGTAGCTATTTGGGGAGTTCGGGAAAGGCAGAGGTGGCAGTAAGTCGTGGACCTGAAACGTGCCCTCATTCAACATTTATGACCTCCTAAAATATAAAAGCAAAGACTTGTCAAGGCCATAGAAGCTATAACCACAGTCCTTATTAGTATGGTAACTAAAGTGGATAAGCTTATGGACTGTGTAAACCCAAGGCTTTTGAGATTTACCCTTTCTTTTCTGAATCAAAATTGCCTGAGTAAATGCCTAATTGAATTTTTGCATTTGAGGAAATGTTTCTAAGATCTAATGGTATTAGCATTATCAGCATGCAGGGCAGTCGTTTCATACCATGATTGTCAGGAGTGTGATACCTCATTTTTTCTTTTTTTTTGAGACTGGGTGTCACTCTGTCATCCTGGGTAGAGTATAGTTATGTCATCATAGCTCACTGTAGCCTCAAACTCCTGGGCTCAAGCAATCCTCCTGCCTCAGCCTCTCTAATAGCTAGGACTATAGGCGAGTGCTACCATGCCCAGCTAAGGAGTGTGATAAATTTATCCCTCTTCCCTGCTTTATTTTTTTCCTCCATAGCGCTTATCATCATAGACAAAATTCCATATTATTTATTTATTTTTAAATCTCCTTTTATTAGAATGAAAACCCCATGAAGACTGAAATTTGAGTCTGTTTTGTTAACTATATCCCCAGTGCCTACAACAGTTTCTAGAATATTATAAAGATCTGTTGAATAGGTGAATGAATGGCTAAATGCTCATGATGCAAGATGAAATTATATTGAAATAGCTGATATATGTAGAATGCTTATACCTATTTTATAAGTTCTTACCCAGTCCTACATAGCCTTCTGGCAGTAATGGATTTGGGGTCATGAATTGGGGTAGGCAAGTCAGAATGGAGGCTGAAAGATTAGGTAAGGGACCCTTACTACATTTCATTAAACTAAGATACAATCATTGTTGTATGTTACTAAGAAATAAAAATACTGCCTCCTGCCTATTAAAGTATCAACTATGAGACCACATCCCAAGTCAGAGATGGTAAAATGTGAAAAATATATGTCTTGATATTGGCGAAATGGGGAGTAATAATCTTTTAGAGTTGATGAGGACATAAAAGTAGAATTAGGGATATGGAGAAAAAGAGTT